TCTCCCTTTGTACATATTATTTAATCACCTTCATTTTTTTTAAATAAACGAACTACAGCTTAATACCATTCCCGTGGCCTTTTCCTCGCGTCTTGTTCTCGTGAGACATTACGAATCCGTGGCATTGTGGTCCAGTGCTTCTGACATCCAGTCCGTGATAGTTGATTATTGATTCGGGTCCTGTGATTCATACTGCGTGGTCTGCATTCTGAATTCCGTGCGTACTACTACTATCATTACACACATTACAGTATCCCACTTTCCATCATTCTTGTGATGCTGGTAAATAGCTCTGCTGATTCACACAATGATTTAACTCATAGCGTTGCATACCGACTGACACACTGACGATCAAATTTCTCAGGTATTCCTGCCATATGATGGCCTTTTCATTGAGAATTTCTCTTTTTTGATATGTGATCATTCAGTTTCCATCAGATCCGGGGGTTCCTCGGAAATTTGAATCGCGCGTCAAATCCGGATTCAACATGAGCAATTGTAAATGCTAGCGTAACATACCGTCTGTTACAAATGAGTTTCAGATCGTTTATGTGAACCGAGTTAATCCATAAACTACATGACCTCTGGAGAATGATTTGAACTCCTGCAATGATTCACAGACATATGTGATCCATCTTTTTTCAAGTCAGTAACTGATCGGGAAACACCGAAAAATCAGTGGCGGCAATCATGGATCTTAGCTTTTCTAGGTTCTTTGAAGAACCATTTCTTTGCTTCACTATCTTGTAATTCCTTCTTAAAATTGTGTATCCGTTGGTTTTTTCTGTATACAGTGGGACATTCTTTTAAGATACAATAGTATGAACTGCTCAGGAGAGCGCGATTTGGAACTTTAAAAAATTGTGGTCTGTTTGTGAAAACGAAATCAAGCCGTGAATTCAGTCAGGAAAAAGTACTAAATGTTGTAGACCCAGTGTGGCGAGGGATGTTACATCATGTCTGTTGAAATCACCAACAAATATACCAAGAGTCACTTTTTTTGATATTATGGAGTTAGAAAAAATGTCTGAAAAGCTATTTATGTCAGCAACTGATATTGTGGGTGACAGGTAAAAGTTTCCGAGAAGGATGGAATGAAACCCACTCAAAAAACGGGGCTTACATTCGATGACATGACAACTGATTTTATCCGCTAAGTATTTGTAGATGACAGCAGTTGATTTACTCCAGTTTTCGCTGACGTAACTTGCAAAACCTCCGCCTAGTTTACGGACGCACGCGGGACGGTCAACCCGATACAAGTTATATTCATCCACCTGTACAATTTCACTAGGGATTTCTTCATGTAGCTACGATTCCTGAAGCATAAGAATCCCCAGGTTTTTGTACTCATTTTTCCGTGTGATGCCTAGTACCTTCTCGACTATTCCCAACATAGAACGGACATTGCTTGTCAAGAAGAGAGGAATTTGCATTTAACTGGTGCTGCACTGTCTGAGAGCGACTTGCTAACTTGCTCGATGCTTTCTCTTTCCGCCGTTTTGTGTTTTGATCATCCACTTGAATTTATTTCTCACATTTTTGGAATATTCCACAAAGGGCACAGTTCGCGCGATAACACATAACGATTTCTTGAACGTGGTGTCCTTGAAATTTTTAACAGTGCAATTTGATGACAAATAAATCCACAAAAGTGTAAATATGATTTTCGAGATAAATGGCGCGGCCGAGTTCAATAATTTATATAGTTTTCTGATCTAAGAAACATTAGAGTCCTTTATCAGCAAAAGGGATAAAAAATAACCCTTGTGTTTTAATTTAGCTCCTTCACAACACGGCTATTCTGTGAGTAACAGAGTGAGAAATGTCCATGAATATCATTCTTCATTGTTGGGTTCCCCTTTTGCGAATTGTTTAGGTACACGGTAGATTGTGAATATTTTCTGCCTCGGGAGTCACCCACACGAACTCACTGATTCGCTGGAAGGGAAACACTGAGACCAAATAGAAAAGCACATTCTTATCATTTCGTCCAACTGCGATCAAGGGCATAGTTTTTATTGAAGAAAAAAAAACACCTTTACACATTAAACTACAATCAGTAAAAAAACCTGTTGTTATTTAAATGGGGTGGAAGTGTTTGTGATAACCAACAAAGAGCACTGGGACAAATGTTTCTTCCTCTCTAGTACTCGTCAGCGAGGGCGTACGTTTTGTGTCCCGCTGTCAGGACTCGAACCACGGTTCTTCGGGCTGGGACTTCAAACTTTTAGCCTTGAACTGCACAGTCGTCAGTTATCACCTTGTGCGAATGGGACAATCAATTTTAAATGATGAATCTTTGGATTAACCCATACGGATTTTGACAGGCACCGGGCAGTATTGACGAGTCCCAAACAGGATTAAAACGGCCTTCCAGTGTTCATTGTATCGGTTATCACAAACACTTCCACCGCATTTAAATACATGCAAACAGTGGGGAATCGACGATCTCCCAAGGAGTGAAACCCACAACCAACCATCATCAACAATGCTTGGTACCTTTGAAAATCCGAATGATCTAATCTAAACATAAACCATCTAAAACCGATGGTTCTGTTTTCGCCGAACATTTTTCTGTGCCAGTTAGTGTTAAATGTGAACGAACCGAACTATCGATGATCGGAATGCGTATCACCGGAATTTTCCGAATGCAGGTTGCATCGCTGTAAATCTGCCTGAACTATCTATCAAATTCCATCTTGCATCATTTTCTGGTGAAATTCTACCAGGAATAGCAAAATCCACGGTTGTTTCAGCCTTGTTGAATTCCGTGAGCGGGATCTCAACGAGGAACAATCAAAGTTGAAATCAAAACCCTGAGTAGTGAGCCCCAAAAGAATGTTGCCATGCTGACGGAACCGCATGAATGAAATAGCCAAAATTGTTTCAACATTGCGAGCGTGCCGCATGGTCATAAATCCGCAAGAGTAGCGCGGCTAGTGGTCCGTGTGTGTGTGTGTGTGTGTGTGTGTGTGTGTGTGTGTGTGTGTGCGTATGATTCACCACACACTTAAGGGTTGGCGAGTGTATGATGTACGCACCTAAAGATAAATTTGTACGCCATGGATGGTGGAGGTGCAAGTCTGCACCCAAGATACTTAGCCAATCTCCACGCTTTAACTGAATACAGTAAATTTTTCGGTCGATATGTAACACATCTAAAGACGCGTGCAAACAGCACGTCTACTTTCTATTATTCACATGTCCGATTTGACGAAAAATGTACTCATAACCACTAATGTGTAAATGTAGTGCATACCCCCCCCCCCCGCCTCCCCTCCGCTCTAGGAAACCAGCGGTCTGCATTCTTCGCTACGTAGGACTCCGTGCGGTAAACGCCCCAAATGGCGTACACATTCATGGGCTACGAATACATGAGTGTTGATTGGCAGGTTGCTTTCATTCGAGGCGTAACTGATGCATTTGAATAGTATTGCGGCAGGGTCAACGCACCAAACGGGGACGTATTACCAACAGATTCTGGAATCGGTTTCTCGTTTGTCGATATGGAACTTAATGAGGAGGATGAGGAGGACAGTATTTTCAAACCTGGTGACCCCGTTCACGTGGTTGTTCGAGGGATGCCGGTCAATCGATTTTTTTTGTTGAGTAAATTTGGAGGTACTGGACAAGTGATCTTTGATTAACTGACATTTAGAGAGAGTTGAATCAATTTGTCAAGATAAACTGGGCAGCTTTCTGTTTGAGCGCCAGTAACATAGTTTACCAAAAAGTGTACTGTTTGCCTCCGGGTTTGATGGAAAACAAAGGGCTACACCAATGAAATATGCATTTTGCTTAGAAAGCACCAATGAATCCCAAATTATGTCACAAGCCAAAATACGGAAACGGTTTTCCTTAATTTGAAGATAGTGTTGAAAATAAAATAGAATCTAACTGTCACGTTCAGGATGATCGTAAATGGGTGGAGACACCCAATCAAAACAGTTTAAAATCAATAATTTCAACCAATGGCCACGTTTCTCTAACAGTGACGGTAAACTAGATTAAAAACGCAATTTTATCTCCAATCGATTTCTGAAGCTTACTTAAATATTGGGATATCCACAAAATACCTTCGGGTAAGCAGCGCCATTTTCCTTACTCAGTCGTGATCGATTTAAATCTGTTTTGGGGAAGAATCCCTGATGCTTTGGTCGATCGATTGGGTTGCGTTCAGAGCAGCCCAGGACTGCGAATTATTGTGGAGCACCAGGACCCAGTAGTGGTCTTCTATACGGTTCAAATCGTTCTCTGTGTTACCCATCACATTATACGTGACAAACGATATAGCCCGTTTCAAGAGTACCAAAAATGACTTTCATTATCCTGGAACAGTTATCATGAGCATTTGGTGATCAAAGAAAAATCGTAACAACCTTCTGTTAGATCTCGTATAAATCTACCATCGCTATAATCGTTCTGATGGCTTTCAGATTCCTCTGCCTCCTTTCTTCTGTGGATCTCTGTGAGTGAGCATGACATTCTTGTTTTCGGTCTCTCTCCTGCACCCTTGAAGATTTAGCTAATCAAACAATCCCCATGATTATGGTTTATTAGGCAGGATTCTTTTGTTTAGGAACTGAAATTAAATGAAAAGAAGAAGTTCTTCGACTTTCGCTTCGACTTCCAAGGTCACCAAGGTAGCATTGGATACCCCAAGCGAAGTATGGACATGGGTATGGCTCACAGGTAAAACTTTGATCTCCATCTGGGTGTATAAATCCTTCCAGTGGTATATCTCTTCTGTTTGACACTCCCTGGGTGTTTGCGCATTTGGGCCAGTTAGATTCGTGCTGATCTCTGGAAAGGCGGAGTTTCGTTGAAGCCACTTTAATCCACGTCCAGTAGCGTTTATTATCAACTAATAATCAACATGTTTTCGACAATGACCTATACCGACTCTGGAACAGTGTTTATGATTCTTGGCACATTACCGACAGAGGATTCAGCTGAGCGTTCGGGTTTAAAAGACACGAGAAACGCTTAATCAATCGATGGATCGAGTCCACGGTGAGTCATATTTCAAGTAATATCGGCAGCCTGTTAACCTTTCATATACACGTGTGTATAGTAGAGAGGAATTAATCTAATAGTAAGTATATCATGGCAAATTTCTAGTCTGACGTAAGAAAAACATCTCGACCAGATCACTGTTAACATGAAATCGGATGGATCAACACGTACATCGTGTTGTTAGCACATCGGAAACTGGAATGTAAAAGTTGGATGAATAGATCCGAGGTCAGTGAAAGGCTATCAGGCATCGTGACAGCGAAATAGATTGACTTCTTATACATCGAACAATGGATAAATATTAACAGTCTTTGTAAAGTGATGAATGTAAATTTCGATGATACATGTGTGTTTGTTGACTAGACAGATAGTGGCAAGTCCTTTTTGAATATAGATGACGAAACAATCGATTTGTTACTAATGGCTTACTTTCTTTCAATCAGGCTTACATTTTCACCATATTCGATCATTCACCCTGCGATTTGGGTTCGAATCCTTGTGAATTTTGTCGCTTCTTTATACAAACTGAATAGGTTACTACGGCTTTCAAAGCGTCTCCGTCGTGAATCGTACATTGTCTCATCGTACTGGATTCATATTTGAAAACAGTAAGTACAACGTTGCGGATTATTGAACTGAAAGAAATATTATTGGTTCGGTTGTATTGATCAGTTTACTAAGGCAAATGGCCAGTCAATCGTCGCTGTCCTCGCAAATTTTCGATTACCACATGACATTCGCATGGGTGTCTCACTTAACGTTGTTCATAAGGAAACATGCGATTGGTCTGTTTCAGTTCTTCGTCAATCATCCCCTGGTCAGTCGTTCTCAAATAACAGCAGACATGGAGTTCAGTCCGGTTGAATCGCTATCAATTCATACTAAGCTATCGATTGCAAAGGTACACTTGGACAACCATTGACTCTCTAGCAAACATCAAAAGACACACATTCTTACTTGCAGCTAACTGATGAATGATTTAGGTATTTGTTTGAGGATCGGTATACTCCCTGAAAACTGTTTTGTTCTGGAATAGTCAATCGGAACAACGATAGGCGAACTCATGTGATTGGCCGGAGCCGCCAACCAATCAGGATGGTTTACAGCAGTCCAGTTAACCAATCGTTGGATATATGTATTCCCTTGTCCTCGCTCTTGGCTATAAATAAGCATTTTTTGCACAATAACTGAATTTCTACACGCTCCCAGTTGTGTTCTATTTCACTGCTTGTGGAGTTCCTTTCTGGACGAGAAACGTTACCAGAGACGATCTTTTGAGAATCTCCACTATCGGGCTAAATCGTGTACGGTTTCCAACATTACTCTCTCAGACAGAGATTTAACCATAGTGATTAGGGTGAAAGATACATGCCGCAGTTCGATCATTATTCGGACTAATATGTATATCCGAAATTTCGTATACCCTCGTGGAATGAATTAGCTACAAGGTTATTTAATGAATGTTGAGACCCACAGCATTTTGTCCAAATCCGAACTGTCATACAGCCACTATGATAAGCTGAAAATAACACCGATGTTTAAGCGTTTTCCACTCCTCCTCGACGATAACAACAAGTTACAACAAACGAGGTGCAGCGGACAATAAACGGACCCAGGAGTCAGTGCAAGAAACGAAACACAAAAGTAAACATTGTTAATTTTCCATAAATTCACATCTTTCAGTTTTGTCTGAACGAGCTCTGTTACATCACCCATGTACAAATATTTTATACGGTAAGTCGGACTGTGACCACAGAGCGAACGCGAACTTGGAACCTAAGCACCCAAACAGAACGAACTGATTGTTAAAGAAAAGTGATGATGAGCATCTGTTGGATGAATTCAATCTCAGGTAACATTCATTTACAATTAAGTCCTATAAAGTTATACGTCTGGAAACAATTCCTTTATTGAATAACTTTTTATTCTCTCTTTGAAGGGATGATATCTCATCCCTGTAAAGATTCACTGTCTTCGGAAACTCTGCCAAATTTACTAGCTATGGTACTGATTTTTCCTGTCTTTGGAACTGGAAGATCTCATCAGAACGTGCCTGTCTGCTTCATTTACGAATTTGTATTCGGTTTATTCGAGAACTGAAATGAGCATCGTCACATCACGATTGGTGCCTTTTTTTGATTCAGATTCGCATATAATCCGTTCGGAAATAGACATGAAGATCAAAACTGTTGTAAAATCATCATCATGGGTTACTCACAATCGTAGACTATGTATCGTGAAGATAGAACGGTAGAAATCGAAACGAAAATTGTGATCCCAGTTGAACAACATCACCTAATTTTCCGATTGGCAAAGCACCGATTCAGAGACATGCTAGCCTTGGTTTTAACTCCAAACGGGTCAATTAATGCATACTGAAAAAAAACAGTCGACGCACACATTACTTTCACACTGAACCTGATGATACCTTAGAAGATCATGATTCGGATTAATCGGGTGATGACTAGGACTACTAAGATG